ATACCTGTTTATACAATATTACATTAATTTATTTTATTAATTATTATTAGTTTTTCACTCAATTACCAATAAATAGCAGGTCCAATTGATAATAAGGCAAAGATTATTGATGAGTGAATTAAATCCATCTCAAAGTAATATAATGATAAAATTATTAACTTTTAAATTTAATTTTTCCCTACTAAAAGCAATGGTTATAAATAAATTACAAACTTAAAAGAATTTAAACTGAATTTAGGAATCACCAACTTAACTTATATTTATATGAGTCTTCAAGTTTGAGTACAGTGAGTACATGTATTATAAGTATTTTATTTGTTTTAATTATATCAAATTATTATATTCTGAATTTTGGACTCATTTTGATAGGATTACTATTGGTTAATACAAACTACTAATCTATTAATGTATATTTTTTTTATCAAAACTTAGATATCTTGAGTTCAGTGCATTTGTTATGAATTTACAGAATAATTATCGTTAATTAATTTTACAGGTATATTATAAATATACAACATTTTACATTTAATTTTTCCCTAATAAAAACAATAGTTATAAATAAATTACAAACTTAAAAGAATCTAAAACTAAATTTTAGAATCACCAACTTATATTTATATGAGTCTCCAAGTTTGAGTACATTGGTGTTACCCTAACAGTAGTTATTATTAGTATTTTATTTGTTTTAATTATATTAAATTATTATATTCTGAATTGTGGACTCATTTTGATAGGATTACTATTGGTTAATAAGCGATTAGAGTAAATGTCTGGAAATTTTTAATAATAACTATATTTTTCTATGTTTTCAACATTAGCTGAAATTCTACAATAAACAAATACAAACTACTAATCTATTAATGTATATTTTTTAATCAAAACTTAGATATCTTTAGTTCAGTGCATTCGTTATGAATTTACAGAATAATTATCGTTAATTAATTTTACAGGTATATTATAAATATACAACATTTTACAATAATTATGATAAATGTTATTTTAGACAACAAACAGGTTTACATGTTCTATTCATTTAAATAATCGTAAAATATAATATAATATAATTTTACAAGAGTACTATAATCGACTTATAATTAAATTAAAATTATCAAATACAGGGATGACATTAAATGACTCCCCTACTTTGAATTAAAATAATTTTAATACCATGCAGTTTATTTAAATATATTTATTAGTAAATTGTAGCCGAATAGTTAGGATTTTGTTTGGTATATGACTTGTCCAGGTATCTATTAACCAAAATTTTTTACAAGGGGTATGATTTTAAACATGCAAAATTTTTTGTACTTTTTATGCAATTCATAGTTATATGCATACAACTTGAGATTTATTATAAACTGTAATTCAATGTTTTAATACAAATATTCACTAAACTGTTATTTTATATAAATAATTTTATTCACTAATAAATGAATATTAATTCAAAATCAAATAATTTTATTGAAAATANACTAAACTGTTATTTTATATAAATAATTTTATTCACTAATAAATGAATATTAATTCAAAATCAAATAATTTTATTGAAAATAGTTTATTACAGTTTGTAATCAATCTCAACTTGTTAACATATAAGTATGAATTGCATAAAAAGTACAAAAAATTTTGCATGTTTAAAATTATACCCGTTGTAAAAAATTTTGGTTGATAGAAACCTGGACATGTCATATTACAAACAAAATCCTAACTATTCGGCTACAATTTGGTAATAAATATATTTAAATAAACTGCATGGCATTAAAATTATTTGAATTCAAAGTAGGGGAGTCATTTAATGTCATCCCTGTATTACTTTATCTCATAACTCTTTAAGATCTCATAAGTGCCGTCACATTTAGTTTCTTAACCACATGTCCGGCAGTAACATAAATGCTAGTGTTTTAGCTAAACTAAAGTTAAACACTTTTCTAAACATATTTATTTTATTAATATAAAAGTGTGATCCTGTACTGTTTGATTATATTTGTATTAACTATAAGAATTGAATGAGTCAAATATAACAAATTGTCTCTTTTCTGTACTCAATGTTTGTTTGGTTCAGTTTAGTTATAATAATCATTATATTCTTAACAATATTTTACTATTATTTTATATAATCAAACAGTACAGGATCACACTTTTATATTAATAAAATAAATTTAATTTTCTGTCTTTTCTTATTTTAAGAGAGGAATAAATTTTAAATAATATAGTTGTTTCAATTCATTTATCATAAATAACTGAACCAAACAAACATTGAGTACAGAAAAGAGACAATTTGTTATATTTGACTCATTCAATTCTTATAGTTAATACAAATATAATCAAACAGTACAGGATCACACTTTTATATTAATAAAATAAATTTAATTTTCTGTCTTTTCTTATTTTAAGAGAGGAATAAATTTTAAATAATATAGTTGTTTCAATTCATTTATCATAAATCTTTAAAAAAATTTTATTCTATAATATTTTATTAAATGTACAGGTATAAATTAATGTCTCAATATAAATAAGAGCTAAAGGACTTAAAAATCATAACGAATGCACTTATAATTGATTACACAATCAGGAGATTATATAAAATAAAAATAATGATTATATTTTTAAAAATATTAATGAGTTTGATTGAACCAAATAAGTGTTATAAGTGTGCACTAAAGTGACACTTTGTAGTCTATGCACTTAATTCTGTATACAATATTACTAATTTTAAGTGTTCATTGATCAGTATTTATTATCAAAAATATTATAGTTTTCAAAATATATAAATAAATATGATTTAAAGTCAGTTCACAATTACCAAAAGTCAAACAAATTATTGAAAATATAAAACAAATGGATATTTTATTAGAGTCGTGGAAATTCTATGCTTTTATATCTGTTGTGCCACTAATTTATTGGTAAATATTGTTTTAATCAAATATTATTATTTATATTGTAATAAAATATTCTTGATTTTATAGGTACTTAACACAGAATTATAGATATTGGTCTAAAAGAGGAATTAAAGGTCCAAGACCATTGCCTATATTCGGAAATATATTAGACATTTTTATTACCCCTCGACCAATTCAAGAATTAAATTGGGCCAAAAAATTTGGGAAGTTATATGGGTATATTGATACTATATTGATATTATTTATGAAATAGTTAGTCAATTATTTTCATATATTATAGCTATTATTTCAAAGCCCAACCAATACTAACCATCTCTGATCCCGATTTGATTAAAACAATTTTGGTGAAGGATTTCCATTTGTTTACCGACCGTTCAGATATAGTCGCTTCTAGTGATAGCATTGTTAGCAAGAATTTGGTTCAATTGACTGGCGATGACTGGAAGAGAGTCCGATCCATAGTTAGCCCGACATTCACTTCCGGAAAGATGAAGAAAATGTATCCAAGAATTAGAGAGTGTTTGACAGACTTTATGAACCATTTGGAGGGCTTTGCTGTGAATAGAGGCGAGATTAATGTAAAGGATATGTACGGCAACTACACTATGGATGTAATCGCTACCTGTGCTTTTGCTACTAAAACTGGTGCACATAATACACTGGACAGTCCTTTCGTAGTGATGGCCCGATCAGTATTCAATGTTCACCCTCTCATACAGATCTTAACTATATTTTTTCCGAAATTATTGTTGAAACTCAAAAACATAATAACTCCTAAACAAAAAAATGAAGGAAATTTTTTTATTGATAACACGAGAAGAATAATTCAAGAAAGACGTCAAAATAATGAGAAATACAACGATTTTCTGCAACTGCTTATGGATGTGGAGAGGGATAGGGATAACAGTAGAGATGAGAATGATATCAATGAATCACATCATGTGAATGAAGGTATTATTAATTGTGATTCAAATAATATCCATAGAGTTTCAAAATTGTTGTCAATATAAAGGAGAGGAAGAGTTGGCGGCTGAGAGGAAGGCATTGAATATAAGTTTGGATAACAAGAGGTTAACAGAGGATGAAATCCTGGCGCAGGCGTTGGTCTTCTTTTTGGCCGGATTTGAAACGACGGCCACTACTCTGACGTTCTGTACGTATGAATTGGCTCTCAATCCACACATTCAGGAGACACTCTTAGAAGAAGTCAATTCTTCGGTCGATTCCAATGGAGAGATCAGTTACGAAGAGTTGGCTCGACTGCCATATTTGGATGCCGTCCTCTCAGAGACACTTCGTCTTCACCCGCCAGCCCTAAGACTGCATCGAATGGCCTCAACTGACTATAAATTAGGGACAACAGGTCTGACACTATTTAAGGGACAAACCGTACAAATTGCAGTCTATGGGATTCATACAACAGAAGAATATCATCCAAACCCATTCAAATTTAACCCTGATAGATTTATGCCTGAGAATAGACATAACATCATTCCCTACACATACCTACCTTTTGGTGCCGGTCAAACACTTATTTGGTTCAATCAAACTCATTAATATTTTTAAAAATATAATCATTATTTTTATTTTATATAATCTCCTGATTGTGTAATCAATTATAAGTGCATTCGTTATGATTTTTAAGTCCTTTAGATCTTATTTATATTGAGACATTAATTTATATTAATATACAGTATTCAATAAAATATTATACAATAAATAATGTGTTTTTAAAGATAAAGTATCGATATATGATAAATGAATTCAAACAACTACCGGTATATTATAATATTTAAAATTTATTCCTCTCTTAAAATAAGAGAAGACAAAGAATTAAATTAATTTTATTAATATAAAAATGTGATACTATACTGTTTGATTATATTTGTACTGTTAACTATAAGAATCAATTAGTAAAATAACTAATTAAATTTAACTAATAAAACTATTTCAGTATTCAAATTAATATTACCTGTAATTAAATTTTTAAATTTTTATTCAACACGAAGATTACACTGTTAAAATATTATGATTTATTTTTTGTTCAAAAGTAATTAAATCTATTTAAATATAACTATTTGCCATAAAATATACAAGTACAGTATCCAATATAATAATTTTATAATATGTATTTTGATCAAAGTTTTATAACTTTTATTCTTAATAGTTTATTATAATTAAATTAAACATTTATTTCTCAAATTTTAAATCAATTTCTCTTTTGAATGCCGACCATAACTCTCTTCGGAGTGTTCACCTGAAATGTTAGCTTGTATTGGAGGGGAACGTCTGTATTAGGAGTTTTGGTGAAACGATATTTCCTGATAATATGAGCCAAACATAACTTTGCTTCGAGTAATGCAAACCTCATACCAATGCAATTGCGAGGACCGGCACCAAAGGGTAGGTATGTGTAAGGAATGATGTTATCTCTATTCTCAGGCATAAATCTATCAGGGTTAAATTTGAATGGGTTTGGATGATATTCTTCTTCAGTATGAATCCCATAGACAGGAATTTGTACGGTTTGTCCCTTAGATAGCGTCAGACCTGTTGTCCCTAATTTATAGTCAGTTGAAGCCATTCGATGCAGTCTTAGGGCCGGCGGATGAAGACGTAGTGTCTCTGAGAGGATGGCATCTAAATATGGCAGTCGAGCCAACTCTTCATAACTGATCTCTCAGAATTGACTTCTTCTAAGAGTGTCTCTGAATGTGTGGATTGAGAGCCAATTCATACGTACAGAACGTCAGAGTAGTGGCCGTCGTCTCAAATCCGGCCAAAAAGAAGACAAACGCCTGCGCCAGGATTTCATCCTCTGTTAGCCTCTTGTTATCCAAACTTATATTCAATGCCTTCCTCTCGGCCACCAACTCTTCCTCTCCTTCATAATGACAACAATTTTGAAGTTTTATTACTTTATTTATATTATTTATAGACCCAATAAATCATACCTTCATTCACATGATGTGATTCATTGATATCATTCTCATCTCTACTGTTATCCCTATCCCTTTCCACATCCATAAGTAGTTGCAGGAAATCGTTGTATTTTTTATTACTTTTACGTCTTTCTTGAATTATTTCTCTTGTGTTGTCAATAAAGAAATTTCTGGTATTTGTCGGCGTAATTAATTTCAACAGAAATATAGGACAAATAAAGTTTAAGATCTGTCGCAGAGGATGTACATTGAATACTGATCGGGCCATCACTACGAAAGGACTGTCCAGTGTATTATGTGCACCAGTTTTCGTGGCAAAGGCACACGTGGCGATCACATCCATAGTGTAGTTCCCGTACATATCCTTTGCATTCATCTCTTTTTCATTGATAGCAAAGCTCTCCAAATGGTTCATAAAGTCTGTCAAACACTCCCTAATTCTTGGATACATTTTCTTCATCTTTCCGGAAGTGAATGTC